CCCCCCCCAAAAAAAAAGAAAAACAGGAAATGAAATACAGATGGGGACCCACCTTTCTATTGTGAATGAGTCCTATAGAGAGCTGTAGTGAAACAAAAATACAGTTGTTGGTATGATCCTAGTGTCTTAGTGATCCCACTCTGTTCACACCTGATGTTCCCTTTCGATTTTAGGCACGATTTCAAGGTGAAAATTCAAAACTAATATAAAATAAGGAAATTAGCATATAGCCAAGAAAATAACATAGAAATTTCTTTTCAAACAATCCCTTCAGTCTTTTTTTTTTTTAAAAAGTCTGGAAGATTTCTTTGAAAAATGTAGGTCTTTAAAAACTAAACATGACTAAAATATATGGACTAGTTTCTGTTGTGCTGCTAATCTAGTATAAATAAAAAAAAGTTCAGAGTAACCTGTACTAACCTATAAATCCTTTTTCATTAAATTTTTCTGTGTATACAGAGTGAAATTTTTAGGTATGCCCAGAGTGAGCAAACTGTGCCACAAAGGGTTAATGTCATATCTGATGCATATCTCTTAAAAATGATTAGTAGATATCACCAAAAGAAATATTGTCTTGTCATGATCCTATAAAATGTTGAAATAAAAAAAAAATACCATCTTATTTTTTCAAAATGTTTGTTCTCATACAAAATGGGATATATCTTTTATATCTGAATAAAAGAAAGGAGGCAAAAAGATGGAAAAATTCCTGATAAACAAAAGCTTAAAAGAGAAAGTGAGAGGGTGTATCAGTTTATGATAAGGGGAGGAGTTGTAAAGAAATGGAAAAAATTACCATTTTATTTAGAGTCGTTTAATTGTATCATAAAAGTAGCATAAATGTGTTTTAAATATTCAGAAGTGTTAGGGCAAAATGCTCACATGCCAGTTAATTATACTAATGTCATTCGTAGATTTTCTCATAGTTTGGTCAATTCCAAAAATGGCTTGTTAAATTGGTAATTATACATGTGAAAGCTTCTCTGGGGTAAAAGTACTTCCACTAGATTTCCTCTTGCATTGCAGTTAAAATTAACTACGTAAAAGGCCTTTGTCATTAAAATTTTCCATAATAGTGATTATATGGGCTCAGGATATACATTTCTTATTTCTTCTTGTTCTTTAAATATGCTTTTAATGTGTAGATGGTGGACAATAGCAAAAAGAGACTACACAAGATGAACACCCAATCAGATTAGCTTCTACAAAAGGCAAACTGTAAACCTTCAAGGCACAAAGCCTACTCTCACAAACAATAATTGCATAAAATATATCGCTTTGATTTGGATAAATATGGTAGTTTGGTGACATAGGACACAGTTAAAACCTAGATCTTTGTATGCAGACAGTAGGAAGAATATTTTCCTGTTATTTCCTTAATGTGATACATATTAAGCATCTGCATCTGTGATTCCCCAAACATCCAGAGGTTGCCGATAGTAGCACTTGTGTTGAGCATTTTAAGCTGCTTTTAATTTAAACAAAGTCATCAAAATGATTTGCTTGTTTTTGCTCTATATTAACTGGTGTTTTTGTATGTATTCTTTATATTTTCTTTGGACTTTACATATTATTTTTTATTATTGGATATTAGCAATTTTCATTTTGTTTCACAATTGAAATCAGTTTTTGATTGTACTTTAAAATCCACTGCCAAGTCCAATGCGACTCTGAGTAAAAGAAGCACCTTCGATTTCCGATTAGAGATTTTATTTATTTTTATCTTTACATATCTATGTATACATCTGTGTGTATATATATATATGAATTATTTTGTCAAATGTGAATCAAAATGTGAAATGCTTTCTGAAATGTAAAATTTTGAAATTAAAATTTTCATTGGGTGATATTATGAATAAAATGAAATAAGTTCAAATATGGGATGAAAGTAATTTTAGGACACATTCTTTTCAGTCACATAAAGGCAACTTAATAGTACTAAATTAAGTGCATTAGTGACATACATTCAACTTTATTGTAGGTTTTTTTATGTAAAACCAGGCTTCATATCAGAAAATTTATAGCTTATAGTGTCTTGAGGTTTTCATAGATTATAAAAACTGGGCCTTTTTTCTTATTAAAACAAGAATTTAAACAAGTGATTTTTCTGTAAATTTTTTTACATATGACTTTATAACCAGTAAACGTTATTGGAGTATAATTACGACACTACAAGAGTGCATGTGTCAGGAATGCCATCAACTCTTGATATACGTGATAAAACAGCAAAATCACCAGCCTAATATAAAATATTTATGGTGTTATTGGAGTCTTATAACCAGTCTCTCTTGTCAGAATTCATTTTCATATGACTTTTCCCTCCATTTCGTGTAGTTTTATAATATTTTACATGTGTATGTAAAATTCATTTCTCTTTCTCTCTATGAAGATAGTTATTTTGTTAAAGTAAATAGGGACATATTGTTCCTACTCTAAGGAAAAAACAAATTGTGAGGACATCAGTGATATATCTTTTGGATTAACATAGCCAATCCAACATTCTGGAAGTTAAGGTAAACGGCATACATGTCTATGCTAATATGGTAGGGTACATCTTGTTATAAAATTGAACTTCTTTTTTCAATTTTGGCAACAACTGTTTGACTGCAATGCCGTATTAGTTGTATCATATAATAGTGGAGTGCAAAGAAGAAAGGCCCAAACACACTTCATTAATTATGGCATAGAAAAAGCTTATAGAATTATGTGCATGTTTTAGTGCATGGGAACTTTTAGTATCCCGAAATCTCATATAACTTTAGCCACATGGCTGACCTCTCCATTTTCCCCTTTTTCTCTAAAGACAGCTCCTAGGGGATGTGTCCTTGAATTTGAGGATGTATTTCTAATCACTCATTGGCAGGATTTAAATCAGCTGATAAGTATAATTCCCATATGGATCAGCTGCCATATTGATGAATTAAAGTCTGTCCTTAAAACCATGTATTTACCTATAGGTATGCTCACATAAAATTCTCTTGATTTTAGTTTGTTGGTACACATTTTTAGTATTTTTACCATGCAAAATTTTTAAGGCTTGTATAATATGCAGCACGCTCTTGCTTGCATCATGTTAGATTCTGTCCTAATACAGCATTCTAAGTTGCTGGCCTTTTATAGGTAAAATTGTATGAACATTTTTTTTTTCTACTGTTTTATTATTCCCTTGCTCAAGCAGCTCATTTCTTCAACCAGTTTCATTAAGTTTTTAATGTTTTGATGGTGCTGTGTATTAGAAAGTTGGTCTGGAAATGTCTTTGGAAAATGGTTACTTAACATTTTGAGTAGTCTAATACACAGTCATTTTTTTCTTTTGTTGACACTGTCGTTTTATATTTCATCACCTCTTGGTGAGCACTGAAAGAAAAAACAAAAAATTCTTAATATTACAAAATGAAAATTACAGAAGTAATCATTCATTTTATATATAACAGTATTTGTGAAATAAATTCATTATATGCCATAGGTTTGCTTTCTTTTTTAATTTGTGTATTTAATTTTGCAGCGCAAGAAAAGATCTTTATAAGGAAGGTTGAATTATGGGCATTAAACACATTCCTGTGAATTCAAATAAAATTCTAGATTTCGTAAATATTTTATATTAGGCTGGTGATTTTGCTGTTTTATCAGGTATATCAAGAGTTGATGGCATTCCTGACACATGCGCTCTTGTAGTGTTGTAATTATTAGCACATGTAACTAGCGACTGGAAGATCTATGATTCAATTCCCAGGGAGAGCTCATGTAATATTTCATGTACCCTTCTTGTAAATGCTTAACAATCCCTGCAGTGGCATCCAAACTAAACTGTTTTAAAAATAACCTTATTATCATTTAGATTTGGCTGACTGGGATTGCATGTCTTTGCCTGCTTACTCTTTAAGAATGAAAGTAACATGAAGCATTATGGTATTCCTCCTAGGCACGTTCTTGCAGTACAGTGTTTAGGACATTTAGTTAATATCTATGATTGGGTCCTGAGAAGGGTGCAGTTGATATTTCATGTTTTGTGCTGATAAAAGCTTAGTAGTCTCTCTACACTTACCAAAACTGTTTATGGGGGAAAAAAAGGCGCGAGAGAGAGAGAGTATATAGTTAATCACTTAAGCACAATTTAATATGAGAGCAGAGTTTAGCTTATTTTAACAGTAACACAGCTTTCTACATTGTTGAGCTTATTTTAATACAATTCAAATAATTCAGAATATCCTGACTCCTCAAAGTTTGGAGTTAAAAGCTGATGTAGGTAGTTAATAGAGTAGAATTCATTGATAATATTTTATAGTAAGTTATGATAAAAGGTAATGCTGTTCCTCAGCTCTCATAATATCGAGCATGTTGCATTTATTCTTAGAAATGAAATTACTATATTGTAAGGAGCAAGTCTTCTACTTATGTTGAGTTAATTTGCAACTAAAAATTAACATCTTTAATAAATCTTTTTGGTTTGATCTATGCTTCTGCCTGTTTTTTATGCTTTGATAATTTTATCATTTGCTGTATGTGTTTTTGTAAATAATTGTGTTAAGTGTAGTTGTGGTAGCAGCTCTTATTCAAGCTTAGAACTGGATCTGTTTAATGTACTTTAAATTAAAATTTAATGTATTTAGCAGGCTATAACTTCAACCTTTTATTGAATTTTCATATTAAATGTATTTCTGAGAAAAACCTCAAACTTTTTTAATCCCACCAAGCTGAGTGGCTAAATCTGCAGAACATTAGTAATGCATACCATATCTAAACAGGCACTCTATTGTTATTCCTGTTATGTGAAAATAAGTTAGTTTCCTTGAACAAGTTTAGAATGAAGGTATGTTTTAGGCCAGTAAGTACTATGTAATAATTGCAGTTGCCTGTTGTGTGTTGCATTTGTCAAATGATTTTTCTGTATGCAAGGGTTGATTTTATCCCAGATTGAATGGATTTTTTTTTTTTTTTTAAATCTGGAAATTATTAGGAATTGTGTTATTTTAAGAACTTTGTTTTTTTTTTTTTTTTAGACCTTTTAATACTCTAAAACAGCATTTTCCTATTTTTACCACCCGTGATATTCACATGAATTATGTCGACTGTGTGAGATGGATGGGTAATCTTGTACTTTCAAAGGTAAGGAGTGTTTAATATTACCTTACATTTATAATACTGTTTGTTAATTTATTTAAATATTCCCTCCCCCTGTCTAGCCATCTGCTTAGAAGTGTAATCATGCATTTTTATATATGAAAATTTATAAGACTGTACACCACCAATTTATAGATGAGATACATTTTAAATTAAAGCGAAATTTTAAATAAGTTTTATTTAACATAATTGTGATAAATCTAGAGTGCTTATTAATTATTTCTTATTAATAAAGCAAAAAATCTGAGTATAATTCTTGATTACCATAACAAATACCTTGTTATTCTTTTTTTAACAATAATTTTTATTATTTGTGATCAAGAAACATTGATATGAAATTTAGCACTCTGCTTTTGCACAATTTTTCCCAATTCCATATGTTTTTATGTAGTTTATTGTCTTATTTCCATATTTTTGTTATCCACATGTGTATTTCTTTTTTGTTTGATTTGTGATCTTATGTATTTACTTCACTTGCTACTTGTTTTTACTTGTTCTTCAGAGTTTGTGGCTAGAGCCTTAGAAATGTTTCTTCATGACTTCTAAAAATTTGGTGATTAATGCCAAGGTGGTTATAATAATACCAAAATACCAGGGAGTGAATTTTAAAAGTGTCATTCAAAATTTACTGGAGAATGAAAAGTTATTCAGATTCTTTTAAAAAAAGGAGGAAAGAAATTTCAATAGCATAGTTTATTTTGTCTTGTTAGTGGACTAATTTGCATTATTAAATCCAGTTAGCATGCTTTCAGTTAGTATGTTCAATTAATAATCTCACTCTGTCCCAATGAACATTTCATCTGAAATAACTTAAGTTCTGCATGAATAGCTAAAATTGCACTGAACCTAATATTTTGTCCTCATAGTCTCATTATCATTGCAAAACTCTGAAAGAACCTAATGTTAAAAATAATGATTACTGTATTTTACAAATTATATGCAGTTAGCATTTTGAAGAATAACATGAATTTGTATTCATTACATGTAGTAAGTAGTTTTCTACTGTAGAACTATTTTAAAGAATGCATATTTTTTTAGGTCATCCTGCAAGAAAAGATGTTTTGCATTTACTTCAAAAACCTATTTGTTCAACAATTTTTTAAGCCAAGTAATATCCGAAAATTTTGTATTCTGTTTCCACTGGACTTATTGCAGTGTATCTGTTTATTTTATTTATATTTCTTTTTCTTATCTGTGAATCTATCCCAGTGGTCTCTTTTGTCCCAGGCACCTCTTTTACTATCACAGATCATTCATCCCCCTCCTTTCCCTAGCCAGAAAACATTTATTTAGATAATAGATTATTTTAAATTTTTATTTTATAAATTAAATAACAAAAAGTATAGAAAATGTGATAATTTTTTTATATTCATGAACTGAAACTAAATAATTAATAGCTAAATAAAATGCTAACGGTATTCCCCCCTGGCACTATGAAACTCCTCCCCAGGAGTAATCCCCCTGGTTAAGAACCCCTGATCTTATCTGTTAACACTTTTTTATCTCTTGCACATTCTTCAATTCACTTTATAAATTCCTTTTATTTTTTGCAACATATCTATATATTCCTCATGGTTTTTCTATTATGTTAGTAGAATAAAAACTATAATTTAAAAAAAAAAAAAAAAAAAAAAAAAAAAAAAAAAAAACTGTAAGCCAGATTGTAGTTTTTTATTTATTTATGAAAATGGACCCTACCATTTTTACTCCTAAGCAAATGTTTCCATATAAAGCTTATTTCATTAAATTATTAATGTCGTGTGCAAGATCATACAATTCTGACATATACTCACAGATTATCATCTATATTTCGTATGCAAGTTTAATTTTATTTTATTATTTCCCTTTTCAGTTTGAAGTAAACGTTAAGCTTATTTGTTGCATTATGTGTTTATGAATTTACATGATATTATAGAGCTTAATTGAAAATTTCATTTCATTATGCACATTAATGGCATCCATAGTTGTGTTATCAGTTGTTCACAATAAATGGCACTTGAAGTGAGCCTTTTTATTTATTTGCCATACAAAATAAGCATATGTTCATTATTTACAATGGTTGTAATAATTAGAACAAAGTTTCTAATTTTATGAACCAGCTTCTCTTGCTAAACTAACTTCTCACTTGCATAGGGTACTACTTACTTTTCAGTTTAAAACATATGAGAACCAGGCATTACAATGCATTAGTATTTCTTGAATTTAAAGTAGTTTGTAGTAAGAATGGTATATTTAAGTAATGGCACAGTTGGAATTTTTTTCTAAATCTTGTGTTAACACGGTTAACTGCTTTTGCAATACCAATGTTCTAATTACTACAATCATTGTAAATAATGACTTTCTGGACCAGGCTTACTTTTATGAAATTGTGTACATTGATTTTACGTACTCTTCTGCTGTTTGTGACTTGCATTGTACTCATAAATACTTTTCAAGGCATTGGAAATAGTAGAACATCATAACAAACTTCTCTGTATCAATTTTAATAAAAGGTTTTATCTGGTTTATTTAATTGTGGCAAAGTACTCAAGCACTATCTGCCTGGCAAGAAGGATACCATCATGGAGGACTTTCTAAGGGAAACTGCCTCATATACATGTTACATTTGAGGAAAACCACAAAAACAGCCATGCAACCAGCCCTTTTGTGGGATACGAACCTGTACTTAACCAACAGTGTTCAGCTACTTTACCACTCAGCTGCTGATGGCTTTTAACAAAAGGAATAAATGTAATTCATCCCCCTTCAATCATCAATAGAAACTTTCAGCTCCACAAGTTTTATTTGAAGCAGTAAGAAATACATAAAGACATAATTTAACAACATTATATTTGAGCAAATATTGGGTTGAAACATAAGTAATGGCTGTTTTTTTAATTTAAAAATTTTTATTTTATCAAAAAAAAAAAAAAAAAGATCTTCTTCTTCAATGGCCAGACAGCCCAGGATGGGCCCTTGCCTTCCACAGAATCGAATTCCAAACTCTTCTATCCCTGGCCATGGACATCCAATTGGTTATTTTTAAAATTCTTAAGTCTGTTTCCAAACAGTTGAGCCACCTAAGTTTATGTCTCCCTCTTTTTCGGGTGCCAAATGGTCTGCCCGAGAAGATCTTTTTAGTTACTCGATTTTATCCATTCTGTACAGGTGTCCTGCCCACTTAATTCTCTGAATCCTTATATATTTTACCATATCTATTTCTTTAAAAGATTTATAGTGTTCAGAGTTAGTTCTTCTTCTCCAGATATTGTTACATTTTATGCCACCAAAAATACTTCTAAAAATGTTTCTTTTAAAGACAGAAATGATACTTTTAGCTTTGTCTGTCATTGCCCAAGTCTCAGCAGAGTATGTAAGAATGGGTCTGATTAAGCTTTTGTAAATTAAAATCTTCGTCTTTGTGCTAGTGAAGTTAGACTTCAAGTATTTAGCATCTGTGACTCTACTACGGATCTCAGGCATTAAATCATTGAGAGTATTAACTTCTGATCCTAGATATTTAAATTCGCTAACAGTTTCAAATTTGTAATTTCCAATTTCAAAATAGGGGCTGCTTTTATTACCACATGGCATGTATTTAGTTTTATTTTGGTTGATTGCTAGATGCATTTTGCTGGCTGCAGCCTCTAAAGATGTAAAAGCCTCTCCAAGTGACTTGGTAGTGCATGCGACTATGTCGATATTGTCGGTATCGACGAGTATTAATGTTTTTTATGATTTTTTGGAGGGCAAGGTTAAAAAGCAAGCAGGCCAGTGCATCACCCTGTCTGAGCCCATTTGAAACAACAATAGGCTTAGAAAGATTATTCTGGATTTTAACCCTAAGTTTTGTTTCAGTAAGAGTAATGGTGACCAAATTTTTCAAGTTTTTCAGGTATTGCAAATTCTCTCAAGGCTTCAATTAAATATTTTTTGTTTACTGAATCGTAGGCAGTCTTAAAATCAACAAAAAGCTGGTGTGTTGCAATGACATATCCATTAGTTTTTTTTCCAAAATTTGCCTAATGTTAAAGATTTGTTCTGCTGTAGATCTTCCTTTGCGGAAACCACATTGATAATCACCTACAATATTTTCTGTATAAGTTACTAGTCTACTGAAAAGTATATTGGAAAATAGTTTGTAAAAAACACAAAGGAGACTGATTCCTCTGGAGATGGTACATTCCAAAATGTCTCCTTTTTTTTGTGTGTGTATAGAGCAGATGATGCTCAGTTTCCAATCGTCGGGTAAAACTTCTTGGTTCCAAGCTGATTTGATGAGGTGGTGTATTTCCTCGATGTTTTGACCTGCATCACTTTTAATAAGTTCTGAAGTAATCAAGTCAGGGACTGGGGCCTTGTTATTTTTGAGCTTTTTAATTCCTTCTGTAACTGCTTCCAAAGATGGTGACGGGATACTATTGGTGTTTACAGAGGTAGTTGGGTAGGTTGAAGACCCATCCTGCATATGGTCATTCAGCAAGTTGCTAAAATGTTATTCCACCTGTGAAGTACCTCTTTTCTATCATTTAGGATAATGTTGTTTTTGTGTCTACAGGCAGTGGTTCTAGTCTTTGCGGCCAAGATTAATTTCATGATAGAAAGCACGGCTTTCATTGGACCCCCTCAGATGTTCAACATCCTTAAATATGTCGTCATGAAAAAGTCTTTTCTTAAGCCGATAGATCTTCTCCTGTATTCTAGATCTTTTATATTCCTCAATAGAGAGTCTTGAATGTCACTTTTGGACCATATTTTTATAAGAAGTGTTACAAGGAAGCAATCATTATCAAATTAATCCCTTTGTTTGGTTTCTACCATATATCCCAGTGTGTTGTCAGCTGAGCATAAAAAAACAATAAATTAGTCAATAGCATCCGAGTTTTTGGACCTTTCTCATACTCCCAAGATGTCGAACTGTAGTCATTTGGCTGCAACCCATTCGTTCAGCTAATTCTCGTATGGTTTGATGCTCGTCTTTGTGCAGAAGTTGATTCAAATGCTCTTCATCAAACTCATTTGGTCGTCCAAAACGAGCAGCGTCTTTGAGGTTGAGATTTTCATTTTTTAATTTGGCAAATCAATTCCATGCAGTTTGTTCAGGCATTGCACCTTCTCCATACACTTCACAAATCTCTCGGGCAGCATTGGCACCTCGATTAAAAGCAAAAAGAAGAAGGTGCTGAAAATGCTTATTTTTGTCGACACACCAATTTAATGATTTGAAAAATAACAAAAATTAATTCAGACAAAAAAATCAAATATGCCATCTTCTAGAGGGAAAGATTCTCTTTCAAATAACACAAAACATTATGCCAATACATTTTATTTTTACTGTGTAATTTTAAACACAACATAAACAACCATTATTTATGTTTCTACCCAATATAAGGTCTACAAAAAAGTTCTGTCCGATAATGTTATTTCAAGTTTCAACATGCATGTAGATGTTCATTTGAGATGCATATGGCTCTCTCTTTATCACTGACTTAAAAATATCTGCTGCTCTGAATTAACTGAAACAAAAGTATCTTACGTCATTATTAAGTGAAATGCAGTCATGTAAATATAGCTACTGGTAAAGTTTATGACACTGCATTTTATACAAATTTGAACAAGAAAGAAATGCTACAGAAGCATGTCAATACTTAGTAATGGTTTTTGGTGGAGATGTAGTTTCAAATGTAATGTGCCGGAGATGGTTCGAAAAATTTGAAGTAAGTGATTTTGAACCTTAATGATAAGCCACACTTTGGGCAACCATCTTTGATTGATGGCAATATTGTCAAGACCATGATAGAGCAGGATCCTTTTTTGACAATATCAGAGATAGTAGAAAAGCTTAATTCAGCTCAGCAAGCCATTTTAAACTATATTCGAAAAATAGAATTGTTCTATAACTATTCCAGATGGGTGCCTCATGAGTTAAGTGAAAACAGTTTGCATGTTCGAGTCATCATATGCTCATCTCTGCTTCCTTGGAATGAAAACAAACTATTTCTGGACCAGAAATAAACATGATTATGGAAAGAGCATTCTATGAGCCCAGATAACCTGGCACCTCCTCTAAAATGAGTTCAAGCATGAGTAAGAGTCTATGTATAAGGCGGGATGTCCAAGGACCAATACAATATCAGCTTTTGAAACCTAAAGAAAAGCTCGATTCCAGATATACTGCCAGCAAGTGGATAATTTAAACAAAGCAGTCAAAGAAAACAGTGTAGAGTGTTTGACAAGAAGCAAATCATACTGCATTATGATAATGACAGACCACATGCTACTTTGGAGATTTGTCAGAAAATCACACATCTAAATTGGGAAATTCTGCTATTTTCACGATATTCCCCAGACCTAGCACCCTTCAATTGTTTTTCTCTTTAGAAAAATCTTTTTAATGAAAAAAAGTGAAAAACTGAGGCAGATGTCAGCCAAGCACTACTTGAATTCTTAGCCTCATAGGGTAAGGCATTTTTCAAAAATAGTATCTACAAATGACCATCATGCTGGTTAGTGGTCATAAGTAATGACAGAAATTATATTGTATAATAAATATTATTAAAGGATGATGCATGTATTATTTTCTTTCATTTTCCAAATGGACAAAATTTTTCGGAGGCCTTATATACAAGGATATATAACTTATTTTCTAAGTACAACCAAAAAGATATAAAATGAATGCATGATAAAAAAATAGATCAGTATTGTAAGAAATGGGAGGCAAAAAAGATGTGAGTTATTTTCTAAACAGATGTTTTTAATAATAAGAAGATAATCCAATTTGTTGTTGTTATTATCAAAGTAACAAATTATTTAATATTGATTATAATTTTAGATTAACTGTTTTTGTCATAGTTTTTTAATGGGATATATTCTTTTTCTCTTCTTCCTGTGGAATATTAGTCATGTGAAAATTGTATTATTTGCTGGAAACCCGGTCAGCTTGATCAGCAAGAAATCTCTACCACAGATAATTCTGTCACCGTTCTGCAACGCTATGAGTTCAAAGAATGTGAAATATGGTTTATGAGATTTTCTCTAGATTCTGAGCAAAAGGTTTGTAAAAATCATTTATTTAGCAAGAAAAGTAACTTAGGTTTATTATTATTATATCCTTGGGAAGGAAGTATTGTAATTGTGAAAAATTCTGGATATAATACAAGTGTATCCTTGTATTTGAATGGAAATATTCATTTTGATTGTTCCTGAATCTGTGGAGACAATTTTTTTGTTGAATGTCTGTACATACAGACAGAATAAAGAACCCTTTCTTCCAGGGGCGTAGCTAGAGATTCCAGCGCCCGGGGACAACTGAAGAACTTGCGCCCCTTTCTGTGTGCCAAGAATGGAAAACATTTCATTAAAAAATTTTGTAGCATCAATTTGGCGCCCCTTGGAAGCTGCGCCCGGAAACAGATGTCCCCTCTTGCCCCACCCTAGCTACGCCACTGCTTTCTTCTAAAACAGGTTCTAAATTAGTATCACAAGAGATTTTTTTTTTTTCATGGGTGTGTACTTATGTATGTGTCTGCCATAACTCAAAAATGATTAGCTGTAGAACACTGAAATTTTGTATATGGGACTACTATGATGTCTAGTTGTACATCTCCCTTTTTTATTGGAATCGGCAGTACCAAACATATGTACCACCCCCTTACTTAGCCTTTATTTTTGCAGTTGTTAATCGTAGTCATATACTTCCAATTATAGAGGTTTTTAAATGATGAAAATATTCATGTTTTGCCAGTGTCAGATTTTAAATAAAAATGTCAACAAATAATAAAATCTAACATTAAATGTGATCTTCCGTTTTCCATGTGTATATCTGGGAAACTGGTATTTGTTGTGAAAATATAAAATTATAAGAAGTTTGACTCTCGTACGGCAAAAATTGACTGGGATTTAATTTCAAAATTTGCAGTTTTTGAAGTCTCTTTCAATTTGACTTGAGGAATTGGTTAATTAATTTAGAATAATTCGAGGAAATAAGTTTAAATGAAGTAAGTATGCAAAGAATGTGTATAATTTGATAGGCCATACAAGAAAGTCGTGGTGATGTCAGATTTTTTCTCTGGTTGTGTCACCTGCATTCTAATTTTCAATTTAAGTCTCTTTCCCTTCAAAATAAAATTATTCCTTGTCAAGAACATGATATTTAATACACTTTGGAGAGCAAGCATCTGACAGACTTCAAACATACATAGAAAATTAAGGTCAATAAACTTAACTAAGCAAATGATAAAACAATAGAAATTAAACATTAGATAAATAAATGACAATGTGTATAAAAAAGTGTCTGTTTTTGAGCTTATAGCCCAAAATGTAAAAATAAAATAGAATAGCAAACCAACTTATGCACAAGTAATAAAACAATAGATAACTAAATGAAAATATGTGTAAAGAAGTGTCTGCTTTTGAGTTTATGGCCTCTCAAATATAAAAATAAAATAAAATAGCAAAACAACTTATGTATTTCCATGATATTTTGTAAAAGTGTTGGTTACTGTAAAAATTTGAAAATAATAATAATAATAAATAAATAAATAAATAAATAAGTAAAATGATGGAGAGAATTCAGAGTCAGAAGTTTAGTGTTTCTCACTACATATAGGCACACTGCACAAAAAAGGGGGGTCAGTTGTATATCTCCTGTTCTACTGGTCCGATTGACAAAATTCAACTTGCGTTTTTCATGTCTCAAAAGCACGACCTTAGGATATGTATTAGATTCATGTATAGCATTGTTCTTATATTATTTTGACACAAAAGACGTTTTATGACATGACATGCCAATTTTTTTCCACATTTCGATTCTACAACTCAAATTATGCCAAAATGCCAAGTTTTGTAAAAAATCGCAAGAGTAGTTTTTAAAAAATTAGCTCCCAAAATTTAAGATCATTTGAAATAAAATTCATCTCTTTTTTATAATTTATTAAAAAAATTTCTGTTTTAAATCATTTTATAAATTTTTCGAAAAAAATTTTGAGTTATAACCTATAAAATTTTTACCGTGATTTTAAAGTAGATGTATTTCTAAGCATACCCTCAAAAAATTAGAGTTTTTAATTCAAAATTTTCTAAGCTATACGTGAATTTACATTTTGGCACGTTTTGAAATTTGGCGTATAAGTGATAATAACAAAAATGTGTCTTGTGCACTCTGTTAAAATTATTTGAAAGAATGAGTGATTGACCTTTTTTTCCTGCTTGTGTATTAATGAAAGACAAGGAAAGTAAGTAGGTTACTATAAATTAAGAATTTTGCCCAGTGAATTATTTTTGGCCAAACTGAAAAAAAAATGCTCCAAGATAAATTTTTAAATTTCTCCATAAATTTCGCACCAAAAATTACAAAATTTAATATTTAGGCATAATTTGAGTCGTAGAATCGAAATATGGGAAAAAAATTGGTATGTTATTTCAGAAAAAGTCCTATTTTGTGTCAAAATACCTATGTTAGAACAATGCTATATATAAATTTAAGCTATATCGTAAATCTTTCTATTGAGACATGAAAAACACAAGCTGAATTTCTTCAATCAGCCCAGTAGGATGAGATATAGAACTCTCCTTTTTTGTGTGTGGGGGGGGGCATACAATTTTTCAGTTTATATATTCTTCTTTTACTATTTACTTTAGTAGTTATTTTGCAAAAATTCTTTTTTCTTTAATTATTAGTATATTTTTTAAAACTAGTGTAATAAATGTGAATTAATAATAGGAACATAATAACATTAGAATACTGCTAATCTGGTTAACGTATGAACTTCATGCATTTCATTTTTTGGAGAGCATTTGAAATTATAAGAGAAAATTTTTATCTTTCTTTATTTTGTTTGTTTAGTTATTACAAAAAAATACACTTTTTAATTCTTGAATTATTTTTATAATACTGCCAATAATATACAATAAACTCTTTCTAAGATGATTAGTTGCAATTCCAGATAATTTTGATTTGAGATTATTGTCTTGACTATCAGTGCTGCTTTTTATAATGGATATACCCAAACAAAAATACAAATAATGTCAAAACAGAAATTAAAGCTTATGGCACCACTTTGATTTTTTTGCATAGTATTAAATGCTCAGAAAAGAAATGAAAAATCAATATAAACAGTTTAGGAATGTAATGAATCATTTAAAGAAAACTATAGCAAACTATTGAATGAGCTTTATGTGATAAATAACATTATGCTGAAAAATGATAAAAATAATGTTGCTGAAATGTTAGGTGTTATCTAGTTTGACTCAGTAATTGTAATCAAATACTACACTCCATTATTTTCTCATTTTGATTTATTAATAAAATATATACTTATTTTTATGTAATGCCTGAGCCATTAAAATAAAAGTTGCTAATTCATTTTATGAATAATTTATGCAAATAAGAACAGTTGGGTAATGTATTCAAAGTTTAAAAAAATTGGTAGGGAGGGTTCTAAGATATACCTTATTTTTAGAGATACTATTTATATGGAGCAAAATGTACATCTTATAACTGAACATATGTGTATGTAAATAAATTTTATATTTCAAAGAATATACATTAAACCAATAATCTTTTATGCACCTCCAGCACTATTTCAAATGAATAAATACAAGGTAAACAAAGTAAAAAGAATTTGAAATCTAATCCAAATGTACACTGAAAGCAGCAACATGTAATGGTAATAATGCAAAATAAATTTTAAATATGTTTAAAATTCATACCCTATTCAATTCAAAACAAGCCATATGAAGAGGGGAAATTAAAAGCTTTCAGATTTTGTATTATGCCCAAAGGGGTGTTTTTTTAACTTTTTGTGTGTCACCTTTGTTTATTAAATAACATGTTCTTTGCCCTTAAACCATAAAATTCAATTCAGTAGCAATATCACAAAACAATTTTAAAATGAGTATATCTTTAGAATTTCTGACACAGTCTCGCATGCTGGAGATAAAAAAATTTTATTTTCTGGTACAGTGTTGCCATTGTTGGCTTTGAAATTGTTGAGTTTGTTATTCAAAAATTCATTAACGTTTTACAAAATATGAAATAGATAGTAAAACAAATTCTAAATTTGTGTTTCCAGATGCCCATATTCAGGTGGAAATGTACGGTATTGAAAATTTTGTGGCCCTAGGTACCATTGTTTTATCAAAATGCGAGAAACATTTGTACATTTATGCAGATTCTTCATTATTTAATTTCTTTAAATATAATACATGGCTCTAATATTTGGTGGCAACAATTTAAAAAGTGTGAATGCAAAATGGCAAAGTGAAATTAATAGTCCTTCTGGGCAAATTGCCCCTTTGGACTAAAAAGGGGGGAAAGAAAAGCACAGCAGCAAGCTGCATGATAGGCAAAAAAAAAAGTCGACAAAACCAAAAATGTAAAGGGAAAAAGGAATTTGCATCTTTCATTGCACCGTCACATCTGGGAGTTGGTACAATGAAAGTAATAAATACATTAGCCTGTGTCTGAACTACCAAAGATACAAATTTTAAGTTATGTACTTTATATGATATCTGAAAATTAATCAAAGTAATGTGTCTTTATCAATACAACATCTATAGGCTGTAATAAGTAATGCAAAAGTTTCAGAATTATAGCATCAAAATCATAAACAAGCTTAAAGTTTTTTTAAAAAAAAATTGTTTTATTCTGAGCAGATTTAATCCAAAAAACAAAATATGTAACCACTTTTGAGGTGTAAAGCAGTAATATAAATCCCTTCAGTTCAGTCCAACACATAAAAAAATCTAATAACATATAAAAATTTTAAATTGTACAGGCCAGAGTAAAAAAAAAATTTTTTTTGCAAAATTTAAGCATCAAAATCATAAGCAAGCAAAAAAAGCTTAAAGATCTAATAAATATTATTTTCTATTTAAATGGACTGTGTCTAAAAAACAAAACATGTAAACAGAAGTAGTCAAACATATAAGGCAAAACAGTAGCAAATGAAAATTCTGGGGAGGGGGAGAAGTATATTAAAAATAGTAGTTCTTAAAAATGTGTAACATGAGGGCAACAAAATTTTTGAAATGATTAAAAAAATTTAATTCAA